TCCAATGGCATGCAACGTTTTCATTAGAGGACTATAGAAACAAAAATCTTTAAAACAAAAGTGAAATACAAAACACCGACGGTCGTTTGTGTGATACAACAAAAAGATTTTACAAAGGACAGCTGCCATTATAACTGCATATATTTTGCCACTGAACTACTACCATTGTTTCAGAGTACTTTAATAGTTGAACGCAAATAAGCTTGCAGATTTATTAAATAACAGCCCTATGTCTGAAGCAGTAATGCACACTTAGAATCATAGAATCATAGAATCACAAGATTGGAGAGGACCTACAAGGTCATCCAGTCCAACCGTCCTCCCATCACCATTGCCACCACAAGCACTAAGCCACATCTCGCCGCTCCTCATCCAGGCGCCTCTTGAACACTGCCAGGGACGGCGACTCCACCACCTCCCTGGGCAGCCATTCCAGTGCCTGACCACTCTCTGAGAGAAAAAGTTCTTCCTCATGTCTAATCTAAACCTCCTCTGGTACAACTTATGGACTTCTCCTCAGATCCTGTTTGTTGCCTGGGAGAAGAGGCCAAACCCCTCCTCACCACAGGAAGTTGTACAGTGCAGTGAGGTCTCCTCTGAGCCTCCTCTTCTCCAGACTGAACAATCCCACTGACTGACACAAGTACCTATGCACAGCACGCACACACACAATGGTATAAAAGTGAAAACACTCACCTCACCAAGTCTTTATATAAAGCCTTTGTAGTTTCTAAGTATGGGCCAAGTACATCTTCAAACTGGCACAGAGTTCCTCCAATACAAAGATGTTTAAAAAGACAGAACAGAAATTCCTTGCGGTCTGATTCACTAAATATGTCATAATGATCTGAATCTTCCAGAAGCAAAACCTTATGGAACAAGGAAATAATAGAAGTAGTAAAATAGACAAAACAGAAAAACCTTATTTGAGATGAAGTATATAAACAGTACAGCTATTTGCTTTATGTCATAGAGTTTGTGTTCATATAAAATATATGAGGTAGGGATGGAAGTAAGTGCTTTTTTCTAAATGCTTCTTTCAGTTATGTTTAAAATTTGTAGATACAATAAGAAGCAGAATCACAGACTGTCAAATTTGTGCTCATGAGTTCTAATGGAAGATCCTTCAGGAGTCCTGTAATACATTAGTTAAATGCTCACCATGCAAATGAAACAATCAATTATCTGAAAATAATCTGGCTATTTTGGTCAGTTGATCAGTGTTGATTAGTTTGCCTTTGGTAATTTTGACCACATTTGCTTTTTGCCTCTAAACTTACACAGTTAGCTCACATTCCTAGAGGAATCCCAGAGGAGATCACTGGAATTCACAGCACTCTTTACTGCCAATTCCAGTGAGCATTAATCTGCAGTGCAGATAAGCAAGACATGCCATCCAGTTGTTTCCATGTGTCCCATCTTCTGCTCCAATATTATGTGAACACAGAGGGTCTTGCAAGATCAGTCCCAACACTGCCAGCTGTACGGGTGGACAGGAACCGTAAGAGCACGACTAATGATTGAGTCACATCAGCCAAACTGCAGATAGCAGCACAGATACAGACAAACAGGTCTAAGAGAGATTCGAGCTTAGTGCTGTGTGGCCCTCTGTATAACATCATTGCATGTCTGAGCAAAAAAGGGCCAGGACAACAATCTCCATCTTGGCTGGAATAAAAGAAGCCATGGCGGGTAGGAATGAAACATGAAGTTTTGCAGCTGATGCCCCCTACAGTCTACCATCCTAGAGTGCTGACTAATTTAGCCTGCGGCTTTGAAGTTGATCGTGGAAGATTTTGACTCTTAATTCTTTCTGCCATCTTAAGTCTTATGAGTAGGAGTCATCATTTCTAACAAACACGAATCTTTCAACTTAAAAAAGCAGCCACGTGGATTTCTTCCAAGGGAAGGAAAGTGAAAAGAGACCAAAACTCCAATTACTTATTTTAAATGTTGCCTCTAACTTTATTACATCAAATACACTTAATTTTCAGAAAACATTTCACACACACCCAACTTGTAAGTAAATAGAAAGTATTTTGAGCTGCTAGGCTACAAACCATAACTGAAATTCAAACCTGAGCTTGAGATCTCTCCTTTTCCCAGAACTTTACAAGACAGACCAGTATTTCAGGTCACATCCTGTAACCAGTGTCACTGGTTCAAACATATCGTCTTCAAAGGATTTGCCAAGTGCAAACGAGTGCAACTCTATAATTATTAAGTACTTAAGATGATTATATATACAAGGAAGAGCAAAATCCAGTTCTCCCACACTGTGTTTTGCTAATGCTAAACAAACATAAGTAATAAAAATTTGTTTTAGCTTATGAAGTCAAAAGAAACACAGTGAAGACATATGTTGATTAAGATAGTGACACTCTTAGATTCTTTTCCAGAATCATCTGCTCTCTGACAGCTCCAGTGGAATGTGACAAAAAGAATTTTTACCTTGCAGGCCTGTTAAGAGTTATACGTAATTCCAGTATTGCACTACAAAATCATTTTCCTTTTCTTAGTTTTCTCTCCTCTGTTTCAGCTCAAAATATCACGATACTTTTCACATAGGATATGGTCAGCATTCCTAGCCAGGAATGCTTCAGCATGTAGCTATCAAGTGCACACAATTTCATTAGCTGGAGGGACAGCTGGGTGAGCCTGCAGGTCTGGGCACCATGGGACTTCTCCCTTGGCACCATTTGTCTTCCCCATCTAGGATAAAGAGTATCTGGATTTCTCCACACACACCCAAGCAGTGACTGATTGTTAAAAGGGCAGGTGGAAGTTGTTTTTACCTTTTTCTCCCACTTACAGAGGGAAGAGGGCCCAAGTGGAAAACAGCTTCATGTCTTGACACTCTCGGTTACTGCAGAGCCTCAGTCATTTCTATCACACGGTAATGATTCCCATTTTTATCTTCAAAGGCATCGCCAGAAAAAAAAAAATTCAAAACCCTGGAAACATGTCCTTCAGTATCTAACAGAATCACAGCATTGTAGGGGTTACTCACTGCAGTACTGACCTTCCTTAATTCATCAGAGATAAGGATATCATCGTAATATTCATCGTAACATTTTACAATGACTCCATTTTCTCTAACAATTCCTTCAGTGTAGAGCCGATCAAAAAAAGACATGGAAGTCTGTGTGCAGGGCACTAATGTAGCTTCAATTTTCGTCACTTTGGAATCTGGAATAGAAAGGAAAGATTCACTTGAAGCCTTTTGTGATAAATTAAAAAAAAAAAGACGGGGCTCTATGAACTGTAAAGCTTCTAAGCCCATGTATCACTTCCTTCTGATCCTAATCTTTGCACACGTTGCATAAGCTAACATTTCTTTTCCCTCTATGTTTCCAACAATCCCTGACGTTTCTCCCAGATACTATCCATAGAAATTATTCATAGGTTAATTCAGATCAGCATTTTGATTCATAAATCCATAGAATTCCTTCCACCTATCCAATCCACACTAAGAAAAACAATTAAAGAGGAGCTTGAAAATATGCTTGAAAATATGTTTATTTGAGCTAAAAAAGCAAAACAAAAAAAACAAAAAACAACTTGCATGCCAATATGGTGTAGAGAAAATGAGTTATAGTGAAATGCTTGGTGTTTAATTGCTTAGCTTCACATCCAAAGATATGGTATGAAAAAAGGTACCTTTGGTTATTAAAAAACAATAACAAATGCTTTGGACATTCTCTTAGCTGCCCACACAGAAACTATCAAGTCAAATTACACATCCGAAACCGCCAGATGGAAAAAGCATGACTTCAGGCCTTATAACCTAAGGGGAAAAAGAGGTTTTCTTCTTCACCGATTTATTCATTTTCACTAACTTCCAGTCCTTTACCCACAGGCTCCTCTAACTTCTAGTGCTTTGGATTCCTTTCACAGGAATAGAAATTTAATTTTATGAGATTTAAAACAAGCTAAATCAGCCTCTAACATAGAAACTGTTTTGTAAAGAGCTATGAATCAAAAACCGATTCAAGATTAATAAAAATCAGATATCAAATGACTTGAAATAAAGGAGACATCTTATATTTTCCCAGTTATTCAGCTCAAGTTATAAGAAACTGAGCTATTACAGGCTTTTGTATTGGGGAAAGGGAGAGGGTTTGTGTCCTATTCAGTAGTTCAGAAAAGTAAACTGCAAGTGGAAAAGTTTGAATGTACTGGAAGCCCCAATTCTCCATCTGAGACTTGAGAGTTGAACCTCGAGATTCAGAATTTCCTGGAAAAGAGTGACCAGTTTTACAGTGTTATAAAAGTGAGCCATAAAATAGGAAGAAGAAATGTCTTGAGAAGTACTGAAGCGAAACATCTTAGTTCTGGGACATCTATAAAGTGCTGCCAAAATACTTTTAAGTGAACATGTCACATACATGGTATAGGGGAGATAAACCCCAGATCAGACATATCTAGAATTCCTCCAATATTTAAAAAAGATTTGTACCTCAGGGAAACCTTGTGCAACTTACTATTTACAGAACAGCTGATATGGAACATACAGAAAGCAAGTTCTGTACTCAGTAATAAAAAAATGGTACTTCAAAAGTAAAAGGTGCAGCTTGACAGTGTACAGGTTCTATAGGTTCAAATGACATCTAGAATTTTTGTAAATGAAAACCTGCAGCAGCACTCTAAAAAATACTGATTTAAGATTGCCTCTCAGATTATTAAACCCAATTCCAAAGACAGAAATCATTAGAGCTTCAAGTTCCTATCACAACTCAGAGTCTTACCTAGGGAAATACTAAATTTTTACTTAGGGGAAAAAAGCAAGCATCCCTATCCCTTTGAAGATAACTTTTCAAGTGTTAATTGAGCTTAAGCAGATACAGTCCTGCCCCCTCAGACTGCTGACAGGTGCAAGGCCAGTAGTGTGTCAAAAGAAAAACCACTATGTAGTTTTCATTGAAGCTATTTAAAAATACAAGAGACAATACATAAGTAGGAATGCATCAAATGTGTTCCTTGTGCTGCTTCTATTTTAGAAATATGAGAGTAAGAGACGAAGGAAGCTTAAAGCACATGAAGAACTATCATGAACTCTGCTACAGAGTTGGGAAGAAAGGAAAAAACATCCCTACCACACAGGCAAAAGGGCACAGTGTGAGAAGAAGTGATGAAGTATCTGTCTAATCAGAAGAAATAAAGGAGAATAAACTTGTTTCTTTACCTGAAGTGTCACTGAGAGAAATATTGTTGTAGGATTCTACTGGGAATCCCAACACGTAAGGCAGCTGATGAGAGAGGGATGCTTTGCTCTCCCCAGAGAGAGCACCACCATTTGATCTAACAGATGGAGACTGAGGACATTATGGTCTGATAAAATAAAGGTGAGGATAAAAAGCAGCAGAAAGGGAATGAAACTGAGATTGGACAACAAAATAAGAGCGATAAGGAACTTTTAGAGACATATTTTAGAGAAAGGAGATGGACAAGTAGCAGAGAAGAGGTGGAGATAAATATGAAAGCGAAACCACAAGCACTGAATTCATAAAGCAAACACATTCTCATTGAGAAGGTAACAGGGGACGGCAGCCTGAAAAATGCAGAAGGATTATGAAAAAACTCTTCTTTGTAAAGTAACATTATGCTGATGTTTTATAGAAAGCTGACAGATTTTTTCTGTGAGTCTATAAATAGTTTCAGCCCCAGCTCATGCTGGGGAGAAGGGAGAGGTTGCTAAGAACCAACATAAAGCCCACTCACATGGTGCACCATCCCCTGCAATGAAATCTCACTGTTTTGTTTGCAAGACACTAAACACAGTATTAGAGTCAACCTATATTATATCATTTTCTTCAGATTTTCCACAAAGCAATGAAATCCAATTTCTGATGTTTCATTCAGGAATAGGAGCTTTTTTTAAATAAGGTACTCCATACTGGCAAGTAAATTGTATATCTGGATTAACATACCGGTGTCAGAAGAAAACACCAGATGATTTTGTACCTCCTACTCAAAGCAAATTCTTACTATATTTTCAAAAAATGCACAAGAAGACTAAGTATAGAAAAATGTGCCAACATTCCTCACCAAAAATAGGCAAAGAAAGGGAAGATGAATCTTTAGGAGCAAATGGGGTATACCAGCTGTTCAGGATTTAAAAAGGGAACTCCTCCAGTCCTCAGAACAAAATGCTTTACTTCTGTACAGAGGAAGACTGAGCAGAATCAGGAGTTACGCTGGGATACTTGGCAAGCGACCCTCCGCTCTTAACATGAGGTATGTAACCTACTGACCTTCACTACAGGCTTGACAGATAGTCTACAAAGATTCTTGTCCAAAGCAGGAAAAGATTTACCCATGCTTTGAAACATATCTGTCCTCTTTTTGCCTGACAGAGTGAAAAGGAGGCACCTGAATAGGAATGTGAGATTTTTTTTCCCCCACTTCTTATGCAATTTAATTGTTTTAATAGCCAGATAGTTTGTAGTGGGGAAAACCTGTATACCAAATCCAGAGACAAAATGGAAAAGCTAGAAAATTCCCAGTGCCCTGTGAAATATTCACACACAGTAAATTATTTGCAGACAAGTCAAAAGAATGAAGGACTTCATGCAATACCCTTCCAAAATATTCCTATTAAAGAGAATCGCTTTGGAGACAGCAGAGCTCACATGACATAAAAAATCCCATCATGTTATCATATGCAGTTTCCATGACATTTTTTCATTTACATAATCAAAAATGCAATTTCAAGTGTTGCTATAAAATTACATGCTATTTGCTTTTGGACCTTCTCCTTCACAGTCTCACCTGCATCTACAGACATAATCAAGCATTATAGGTATATAATGATACGGTAACAAATAAGAAGTCAATTTTATGCCACAATTGCAACTACAGTAACCTATCATACGGATCATCTTCTGTGCCTAGATAACTTTTATTGTAGGGATAGAGAGCCCTGAGCTTGTCTAAATACACTATCTAATCTTCAGTTCGTTCGACTTTAATTTGTAAGAGAACAGTAACCTACAGCCCTAAGTTAAGTGGCTGCATCTATTGAGAAGTGTCTCTCCTGAAATGTTATCTCCAAATAAGGTAGAATCATAATTCAGTTTGTTCAAATGAAGAAGAAGTTGATAATGTTTGCATACACAGTCAGGTGAACTGAGCAAAAATAGCTTTAGGAGCTTGTTTTATGAATCAATGCAGGCATCGAGGAAAAAATGTGTAAAATTTGACAATTTAGTAACAACCTAAATAAAAATCCTTTTATTATTTAGGATAAGAAGTCATTTTAAAAATACTTCAGTCAGATGAAGATACAGACATATGAATTGTCATTACAAAGTGGTAAATGAGCAGAAAATAGTTGCAACACAGATATTCTTAAAAGATTAATTTATTCTAAAGTTACCCAATGTAGTCCAATGTCCTGAAGCTGAGAGCAACTTTAAATTGGAGATCACATTCTGATCATTAAAAAACGCCTACAATATTCAAATAAGAGAATAAGAGTTAATTTAATTAAACACAAAATCATCATAGATAGTGCCATAGATTCTTTCAAAACAAACTGCAGGGATCCAATTAGTAAGTACATGCTGTGTGATCTTTCAGTTTGATACCAAATACCACCAGATACATGTTTCTGTAACTCTGTGTAGCTCAAGTCCTTTATATATGCAAGATATCCTCACCAGCATCTATATGTGTAATATGAAGATTTTACATTAAGGATTTACAGTCCAGTAACGGACAAAAAAGATTAAAGAAATCCTTGGAAGTTCAGAAAAAGGAAAAAGGGATGAAAGATTTCTACATCTGCATGGAATGCTTTAGAAATTAAAAAAAAAAAAAAAAAAGAAATGCTAAAATTTACATTTTGTAAATAAAGTTGAAGCGTGGAAAAAAGTAAACAGATAGAAATGATTCAACAGATGCAAAATACCCAATTATGTTATTGAAGGGATGGAAAAAACACCCGACAGTGAGATTTGAATATTGCATCTTAATAATTCATATCAATAAAAAAGAAAAATGCATAGTATTGTTGACAGCCAACAAGTTTAAATGATAGATAAGTCAGTTAAGAAAACATACAGTTATGCATATGTTCACAACCAGAGTGAAAAATCACTAACAAACTGCTAAAGAAAATGATGGATTTTTCAGTCTCCACATCATCAAATCTCTTTATCACCTTTCAGGGACACAGAGAGATCAGATTATGTAAAATAATGGTTTTTTCACTCTCAGTTAATTGACAGCTACTGAGAATTTATCATTTCTTAGTGAAATTTTTAAACTTTTAATTCAAAAGAGACAAGTGTTGAAAACCTAAATGCATACTTGGAAAACTTCAATCATTTGCAATGTTTTTCAGTGGGAGATGAAATATTGGTATATTTCCATCTGAATTCCTTTAAAATACCAAGAGGCCCAATTATTCAAGCAAGACAGCAATATAAAGTAGACATAAACTGAATAAAAAGTTTCTAAGTCAACAAAGTTTAAAAAAAAAAACCAAAAACATGCTGTTTTTAAAGTCCTAGATGATGATTTGGGTAAATGTCAGGCAGAGGGCATTGAGGCCGTGGCACAGCTGCCTACAGAGCTGTGCTGCCCCATCCCTGGAGTTGCTCAAGGCCACGCTGGATAGAGCCTTGGACAGCCTCAGCTGGCGGGGGGCAACCAGCCCATGGCAGGGGCGTAGAACAAGATGATCTTTAAGGTCACTTCCAACACAAACCATTCTGTGGTTTTTTTCTACTCGCAACCAGATGAACAGATTTGCAGACAAGTCGAGAACAAGTCAGCAAGATAATTGAGTCTCAGAAAGCCGAAAGCTCACAAATCTACCATAAATAAAGGTATCCAGTTAATTTAAAAACATCACAATTTTCAGAGACGTGGTACCACGCCTGGCTGCACTGTGTATTTACCAGTGCGTAGCAGTCACAGCTGTGAGTTAAGAGACAGACTGCACGTAAGCTGTGTAAAGTCAGACCTCGGGCAGATTTCCCAACTTGAAGTGTGGTGGCTAAAGCCAGCATCCAATTCAGATTGCCATTCCGAGGCTGGAATGACTAAACTGTTCCGTCTTAGAACAGAGTAACATGAGGACAGACTGAAATACTTTCAGAGAACAGCACAGTTAGCCCACAAAACACGACTTCGGGCACCGTGCCTCCACCACCTGCTTTCAAGGGGAAAGCGAGCAGGCAGGGAGCAGTAACACCACTCCAGCACTTTTCATCTCGTCGGCTTCCAACAGGTATCATTTCAAAGTGGGAGAACGAAAAGTGTTCAATATATAAAGAGCTCAAAACTACCATAACGAACTCATCCTTTTGATAGGGCTTAAACTGCTGGTCGAAGCTGAACGCTTGTGCTGCGATACTGCCTTGCATTGACCTGAAATGGAGAAAACGAGCAGCAATGTCGCGCACAGCACTGGCTGTTTACCGCGCCGCAGGCCCGCCCGGGCGCGTCGCTCACTCGGTGCTCAGCGCACCGACCGGACTGGCGGTTTTCCTCTGCCCTTTCCGCCCTCACCGACACCCCTCACCGCTCCTCGGAGGGGAAGGCGGGCGCGGCGGCCGCCCGGCAGCACCGCAGGCTGCGTCGGGCTGAGGGCCGGGGACGAGCAGCGCCTTTCGCCTCGGCGCCAGAGCGCGGCCCCGCGGAGCCCGAGCCGGCCGCGGCCCTCCGCGCCACACGCGCCTTCCCCGCCTCTCCCCACCGCCCTGCCCGTCCCGGGGCCCGGCGGGCCTCCCCCCTCCCACCATTTGAGCAGCCGCTCCCGGACGTCCCTATCCTGCAGGCAGGGAAAGGCTTTCTGGGGCAGGGGGCGGAACGCGAAGCCCGCCGCACCCCGCCGCTCCCCGGCCGCCATCCTTCGGCGGCTCCGCGGCGGTTGCCATAGGGACGGCGCCGCGCGGGGTGCACAGCCGCCCGCTCCCGCCGCGGGGCTCGGCCCCGTAACGAGCGTTCCGCCGCGCGCCCGTCCGCCCTCCCCCTGACGGGATTTCTTTCGGTTTTCGCTATAAATCCTCCCAGTTCAACGTCAGTCCTCTCCCCCGTTCCCTCTACTCCTATCTGTGAGCCAGGAGAACTCGGGCCCCGAGTGGGACCCCGCGGCTGACCGAACCCCGCAAAGCGAATGAGGAACGCCCTCAGTGGGGAATGATGAAGCGGTGGTGAATCAGAGCTTCTTCCCA